AGGAGTTGGGAGTTGGTTCTCTCTGCCATCTGAGTCCTAGTGATCAAACTCAGGTCATCAAGTTTGACAATAAGCACCCTTGCTCACTGTGCCATCTTACTGGCCCTAAAATCTGCAGTTTTATGGAAATCCAGAACTGGGTGTGATGACACAGGACTTTAATCCCAGGATTCCAATTTTTGTTTGTTGGGTTTTTGTTTTTTGTTGTTTGTTTGTTTGTTTTGAGACAGTGTATCTACATGGCACTGGCTATCCTGGAACTCAGCTATGTAGACCAGGTTGGTCTGAGAGATCCACCTGCCTACCTCTGGCATTAGCCACCACACCCATAAGTACATTATTAAAGGAAATAGAAGGCTCATTTTAGAAATTACCCAATGAGATGCCAAACCACAAGTTTTAAAAATAAGGGTTTTTTGTTTTGGGGTTTTTTGGTTTGGTTTGGTTTGTTTTTTTGGTGATGTTTTTGTTTGTTTTGTTTTGCTTTTTTGGGGGGGTGTTTGATTGGGTTTTTGTTTGTTTTTGTTTTTGAGGACAGGGTTTCTCTGTAGCCTTGGCCATCCTGGAACTCACTGTAGAATAGGCTGGCTTCTGACTCACAGAGATACATCTGTCTCTGCCTCCCTAGTGCTGGGATTAAAGGCCGGTGCCACCACCACCGCCTGGCATAAGGTATTTTTAATTATGGTGATTTAGAAAGTTGACAAAATATGATGAATGAACAAAGCAAAGTTAAGATAGTAGTTTGGTTAAAGGAACTTTTTTAAAGGCTACAGAGAAGCATAAAGGTCCTCTTTGAAGGACACCTTTCTATTGCACTCAAGGGTTGTGCCTGTGTGCTGAGTTGTTGTTGTTGCTCTTGTTATTATTATTATTATTATTATTATTATTATTATTATTATTATTTGGTTAACATACAAATAAATGGAATTCACTGTGACATTTTCATACGTATGTATCACTATACTTTGTTCTTATTTGCCCCCTATATTACCCATCCCCATTTTCCTATTTCCCTCACTGACTGGTCTTCCTCTCACCACTGCGTTTATCTATAGTTTACCTTTGTAGTAAAAAAGGCAAAATCATATTTGTTGAGGAACACAAAATGAAAGAACTTCAGACTCCCCTGGCTTTAGATCGAGTGGGTTAAAGTTGTAATTCTAGGTTGGTTTTGGATTGTTTTTTAAATAATTGTGGGGAATTTTTCAAAATTTTGTGGGTGCGTGCGTGCGTGAGTGTTCCAACACCTGAAGAGGTGAGGAGGTATAGGATCCCCTGGAGCAGTGTGAGCAGCCTAGTATGGGTGCTTGGAACACAACTGTGGTCCTGTGGAAAAGCAGCAAGTGCTCTTAATCATGGAGCCATCTCTCCAGCCTTTGGATTTCCACACTAGCTAGCCTCTCTTAGATGGCCCTGGACCAGCAACCTCGGGGGCATCATTTTTATTCCTTTTCATTGAGTAATGAAAGGACAGCATTCTGCTGGGAATGGTCACATGGCTTCTGTTCCCCGGGGAACCTCTGCAGACTTGATAGATTCGTGATAGCCGAATGAGGAGGGATGGCACAGAACACTACTAGCTGTCATCCAGTCTACATGTTATTTCTATTTCAAGTGTATTTTGCAGTAACTTCAGGTAGGCAAATGCAGCCTATATTTTGCCTATGGGTGGAGAGACATAACTTGGAGAGTCTACCTGTTCCTCAGGGCTCCAACTGTCAAGGAGTGGCTTCCTAATAGGCTTTTATAATCCTCTCCAAACCAATAACTTATGAATTTAGCTAAGCTTTTGTTTTGTTTTTTAGCTTTTGAGATAGGGTCTCCCCATGTAACCCTTGTTGAACTAAATCTATCTCACTGTGTAGACCAGGCTTGCCTTGAACTCACACATCTGCCTGGGATTAAAGGGTGTGATCCACCATGGCTGGTTTTCTGGACTCCATCTTTAATCCCACTACTCTTCACAGTGAATCCGGGCTCTGTGATGCTGGTGGGAGGGTGTGAATCAGTTTTCCCCCTCTCAATCTCCTCTAATCCCAACCATCCAAACTGCAGTTGGAGCTGTTAGGTGGGATAGTACAGAAAATGAATCTGCTTTAAAGTTATGTTCATAGGTTAGAGAACCAGGCAGTGCTTACCTTGTTACCACAATACTGTAAGGTTTTCTTCATTTGCCAGCTAATGTACTTTATCCAGTTAGGTGAAGATGATAAACACATAGCTAGCTGAAGACAGATTTCCTGGTTCTTGTTGTAATCTGTGCAAATGCAGACGTATCTGACCCTTGTAATCATAATTATAATGGAGAGCTGCATCCAGCTTCTTGGCTGCCTTCCTGGCCTTTGTATAATGTTGGAAGGTTAGGGAAATGCCAGCAACACAGAGACAAAAAAACCTTAGCAGAAGACACTGCAAATTGAGATAATGATTTCAATATACTTGAAGAATATATTGATGTGGCAGCATGTGTCTGGATTTGTTTTTAGTTTTCTGAGACAGAATCTTGCCCATACTAGTCTTGGAACTCTGAGCAATCAATCCTCCTGCCTTAGTACCCTGGAGTGCTGGGATTACTGAGTCACTGTGCTTGGCTTGGTTTTGAATCTCATCTTTAGAATATCTAAAGGCAGATTTAAAGGGTCATGTGAGAAAATGCTCCCCAGCATTGCCTTGTTGTACAAATGGCTTGCTGTATCTGAGCTAGCATGTCTGTGGGATCTGCTCATAAACATTGGAAATTGAGTAGAAAATGATCCTACTCAAATAGTTCATTTATCGTAATACATTTTATTTATAATAGTTCATTTTATTTTAATAGAAGATGTGGAGAATATTGTTGAGAGTGAAGGGATTTGGCCTAACCAAGGGGTCCAGAGATGGGCTGGTATTAACCCACATGAGAAAAATAGATGATGTATACAGGAAAACATAATAAATTTATTTGGATTTATAATTAGAGTGTGGTATACTGGCAAAAGAATAATAGCCAGACATGATGCCCCCCCATCTGCTCCCAATCCCAGGATGAAGGTGGCTGAGACACGTGTACACACCTGTACATAAGCACACATGTACATATAAAAAGAAAATTACAGTTGGCCTTCTGGTTGATTGCTTTTAAACAACAGCTTGTCAAATGAGAATGAAATAGAATTGTTTACATGGGATGGACCACAACTTCTAATTCTTCATCTGAAAGCTCTTTTCTGCATATCTCATTTTCTTAGTCTAGAGTACCTCTTCTGAGTATGGACTTCCTTGTGGCCCTGGATAATATTTAGTCCCTCTTCCCTTTCTCTTGTCACTTACTCCACAATCCTTTAGGCCCATGGAATAAGATTCTAAAGCCATAAATAGATAGGTGGTTATTTCTGAGCAGGGAGCTGGGAAATCAGGCAGTAGTATATAGCCCATTCTGTCATTGCATTCATGAATCTGAGTTTTCAGATTTTCCAGAACTTGTCTCTTCCTGTTTAATGTTAATGGGCCCTAAAAACAAACTTTTGGCTGTGAGTCCCTAGAATGTTAGAGGTGTCCATTTGGATCACTTAAACTGGAGGTAAATGTAAATCTGCTTGTAATGGGCCTTGCCTTCAAAAATTTGTGAGTTTTTAAGTAAGAATCAAATGAAATTCTTTGTAAAGTAAGTTGATTTTGATCAGTGTGTGTGACTTGCCTTAAATTACAGTCCCCTGCCTTATAAGAACCGGAATTTAAAACTTCTTTAATGATTTCTTGCAAGTCACAAGTCTTAATACACTCTCACATGGGTTGTGGACATAGATGCCAGAGAGGCAGAGAAAAGGGACCTGTGTTGGATTATGGGAAACCAATGTGAGTCTGGACTAGAAACTTTGCCTCCAGAGTCATGAAGTTTGTGCTTTCTCCAGCCTGTTCTTGGTTCATGCTGACTTTGTCTGTGAGCTCTTCGATTGCTTGGGATCAGTTTGGCTGTTCTGTCACTAGGAAGCTTTTTCTATGTTCCATTTCTCCCCTTGGACAATCTTGAATGGTTCCTTGGTGTTTGCTTTCTAACTGTATTCTAACTTACTTCAGGGACTCCACCCTGTGGGCAGGCTTCAGAGATCAGTGCTTAGCACTGTGTAGGGGCAGTAAATGGAGAGACCAAGTAACCCCACAGGTGTCCTTCTTTTATTGCAGGAATGCCTCTGGCTCAGGCAGTAGCGATTCTTCAGAAGCACTGTCGCATCATCAAAAATGTCCAGGTTCTCTACAGTGAGCAGGTGAGTGGTGGCTGACTTGTTTACTGAGATAGAAGCCTGGTCTGTGAGTGAGTTTACCTCTAGAGGAGACACTCTGGGGAGGCTAGCTGGGAGGAGCTGCTGCAGTGTTTCCAACAGGAGAGTCTTAGGTCAGTTTTCAGATATGTCTTCTTGGTTTGGAAACTTCGGTCTTGATAATCCAGTGCTGTCGGGTTTAGAAAGAACAGTAAAAACTAAACTGCTTTTTTGTTTTGTTTTGTTTTGTTTAAATCTGTGCTTACCTACTGACCCCTAAAATGGGGACATTTTCACAGGAAGTCACCAAGTTGTCTCTGACTTTCTAAAGAGCTTGTCACCTTCTTTTGTGATTAAAGGTGTCTTCTCTGCTTTGTTGGTTGTCTTATGTTCAGAATATTGAAAGAAAGATCTCTTGGTAGTAGAGCATATGAATTGAAAGAAGTAGGGCTAGCTCACCCCTCCCCTCTATTCCTCTCCAAGACCATCTTCTCTCCACTGAACTCTGAAACCTGCAGTTCTGTGAATTTAGAGCATACTATGACATTAGAACATATGCAGCTTTGTGAATTAGCCTTTGTGTTGCAAAGCTTTGGGAGCTGGTTTAAGCCTACAGAGGCCAAAGGCTGTCCCTGTGCCTTTGCTGAGTCTTTTTGAGTAGTAGATGGATGTTTTAATAAGTTTCAATTCTTACAGCAGCCAACAGCTTATTTTTGACAAGAATGTTTTGGATGTAAGTGGGTTAGATTTCTGTGAAGCTTCCCAATTTGACTGAGAGCAGCAGCTATATTAGGCCTGTTACCACTAATACATGTGTTCTACAGTACTGTGTTCCTTGGCTACTCTAAAGGATCTGAGAAGGGGAATGCTTAGTCTTCAGGCAAGTAAGTGCCTAGGTATCCATGTGGTATCTGCCATAAAATATGGAACTTTTCGGAATATGCAGGGGTTCCTTGAGTCATGGTGACAGAGTGGGTTCTCATTTACAGGCTGGATGATGGCTTTTTAAACTCTTTGCTCTCTATCATGCCTAACATAATCGGACAGTAGCCATAAAACAAAGTGGGCTTGCATGTAAACCTGAGCTGAATAAGGGTGTCACTCTGGAGACTGGGTAGCTTTGAAAATAGGCTTTATGCTTTCTAACCATTTTGTACAAATACTTGGTTCTCATTTATCATTCCAGTGTTTGCAGGAATGCTAACATTAAGTTCATTTTCCCCAGTATTTTCTTTTAATTGTGTTAGTGTTTTTGCCTTTGTGACTATATGTACCACGGGTGTGCAATGCCTGGTGCCTGCAGAGGCCAGAAGAGGATATGGATCCCCTGAAACAGGAGTTAACAGATGGTTGTAAGCCACTGTGTGGGTGTTGGGAACTGAACTTGACTCCTCTGCAAGAGAAGCAAGCACTCTTAACCACTGAGCCATCTCTCCAGCTCCTCTTTAATATATTCTAGGCATATGTTAACTTAGTAGACACGGTTGCTTTTTGGAATTTTAAAACTAGGTTTCATGTAGCTAGGCCTGGGCTTGAATGTTTGAGCTTTCTGTCTCTACTTCCCAAGTGATGGAATCATAGACAGGTAACACTATGCCCAACCAAACACATGGGTTTTTGAGTCTGGATGTACATTCTTGCTATTTTTTAGTTGTATGGTTTGTGAATACTTGGTAACTAGTCTGTCGTTCATATATTATTAGAACAATCTTCATGAGACAGTGTCTCAGGGTATACATAGCTCTGGCTAGCTTGTAACTCACTATATGGATCAGGTTGTCCTCAAACTCAAGCAGCTGTCTTCCTGCCTCTGCCTCTGCCTCTGCCTCCCAGATGCTGGGACTAAGGTTGTGTGCCAACTACCTGGTTGGGCTTTGAAACATTGTTTAGCAAGGATCTAAAGATATTTTTGGAAGTGGGGGTGGGATGGCAGACACTTGTAATCCCAGCACTTGGGAGGCAGAGGCAGGTGGATCTCTGAGTTTGAGGCCCGCCTGGTCCCAAAGTGAGCAGCTGTTATACAGAGAAACCCTGTCTGGAAAAAAGAAAAAGAAAAAAGAAAAAGAAAAAAGAAAAAAAAGCAAATTAGATGCTGTTGAAGCTCTGGTGTGGTACTGTTTTTCAGACAGGATCTTACTGTGTAGTCCAAAGTGTAACCCTTCTGTGTCAGCTTCCTAAGTGCTGGGGTCACAGGTATGTGTCACATGCTGCCTTTGATGTGGTGTTTCTTAAATGTGGTTCTGTCATCTCTTACCTTCTTTCTCTACATAATTTTCTTTTTGCTTCCAAATGCAGAAAACATTGTGCTCCTAGTAAAGGTTCCAGAAAATTTTTTTCATCCTGTCCTGTCCTCGTCTCTCCTCTCTTCTCTGTTTTTTTCCTCTTTGGTAGTGCTTTTTTAAGAGGGCAAAACAAGTGTTGATGGTGCCACCTAGGCCTGATGCCTTGTGAGAGTAGGTGAGGGGGGAGAGCAGACTGTTTGAGCTAATTCCAGAAGGCTCTTTGGAGGGAATTTCCTGAAGGCCTACTGGATAGTAGTAGCCTTCTAGTTTATGTCTCTGTCTTTTAAAACCACGCCTGTGTTACTCATTTTGTTTCTTTAGTTTTTTAAAAAAACAAAGCCGGGTGGTGGTGGCACACACCTTTAATCCCAGCACTTGGGAGGCAGAGGCAGGCAGATCTCTAAGTTCGAGGCCAGACTGGTCTACAGAACCAGTTCCAGGACAGGCTCCAAAGCAATACAGAGAAACCCTATCTCTAAAAGCAAAACAAAACAAAACAAAACAAAACAAAAAAACCTTTGAACAGCTTTGTGCCGGTTGAGTTTGAGATAGTGATGTTCTTCCCTTCAATCTATAGTAGTCAGTTCTGTGAGGAGAGTCTTAAGACATTAAGTCTTTGATAACATTGAGATAGAAGCAGGAAGGTAAAGCAGACATTGTTCTGAACTGCCTTCCTTGTCCTCAGAACAACCTTGGAGGAAAGAGGTGACAGTACTCCTAGGTAGGAACCAGAGGCTGAGGGCTCTCCTGTTCACAGATGTGTCCTGCCACTCCCCACAGGACTGGGGAGAGGTGTAGAAATATGACTCCTTAGGTCTTAAACTTGGGCTTTTCAAAAAGAAGCACTTTCATAAGGGATAGGATGGGGAAAGAAGAAAGGAGAGTTCTGACTTTCGGTTTGGCTTGTTTTTTTTTTTTTTTTTTTTTTTTTTTTTTTTTTTTTTT